AGGATGTCAGGATAACCTCAGTCCCTACCAATACCCTGATGTGCTTGTTCAGCTGGATCATGCAGACATGTGAGAAGTTGCATCCACACTGGGCCCAGAAGAAGAATAATGATGTTTTCCCCTTCTGTTTTCTGTCTGGGAATTTGCCCCCCATCAGCTTGTCAAACAGAATTGGATATTGGAACCCCACTACAACAGGACACTACAAGGTCTTTCCAGGCCTCCCTGGACCTGTAGACCTAGGGTTGATTGTGTATAAAATGTTTTCTCCTTCACTTTTTCCAGTACCACACAATGACTTTCTGCCCATATCAGTTCCCAGTACCTGGTACTCCTGCAAGCAGTTCAGTGCTTCAGAGACACAGTCCTTGCATATTTCACACACTAGCTACGTATTTCTGTTGTGTCCTCTGGTGTTTGTATTTGAAGGTCTCTATATAAAAGAGGTTTTCAATCCACCAAGCACAGATAGGAAAAAATGTAAGGAGCAAAACCACTGCAGGTGCACAGACATTGGTGGCCACTATCACTCAGCTCAGCCTAAGACTTACTGCAATGCTTCTGTGAGTGTTCTTCCAATTAATCTTGCTGCAAATTCACAACACACAAAAACACAAAGTGGATATTTTGGCATAATTCTCTTGCATTTATTCCTTACTCGGCTCATGCCTGTCGTGCTTGTGACTATTTTGTTATTTCTGCTCTTAAAGATGTATTGTTTCACTTTTTAATGAATAGCCTCTCAGAAGTAAAGAGAGAATTGCAGTGATCTTTTGATTTATCCATCTTCGCTTTTTCATTTTGAGCCTAAGGTGCTCAGATCGAATGAACTTTACTGCCATCTGGAGATGTAGTATTTTCATTTCTGTTTGTCATTTTACCTCTGAATTTCATTACAGAGCCTCATTCCTGGGGTTTAAAGAATAAAAAGCATTTTGGTGTTTTACATGCTGTAGTGCTGTACTTCTCTTTACAGTGATTAGGTGCTGAAATAAAAGTCACCTCTGGCATCTGATGAGAGTGTTTAAGATTGAAGCTAGTGAGTTAATCGGCCTAATGGCAGACTTCTCCCTGCTAGATGTGTGCAGGTTTTTAGTGTCAGGGGAGGATGATGCCAGTGCACTGCAGTCCTTGTGATCAGTCTGGGACACAGGGGAATGAAGAGACAAACCATGCCCTTTCTCTGAAACTTACCAGTATCTGTTGGAATTCTAGCAGGTGTCAAGGCTAGAATTTTTGGTTTGGTGTTACCTTCTGTTGCCCTGCTGTTAGTTTTAGTTCCAGGTGTAGCAATGCCATGCTTGCAGCAGGTGGGACATACACTATTGGTGTGAAAGTCTTTATAAAAGGGATACAAGATCTTGTACAAGAACCAGGAAATGTTATGTCAGACCCTTGACAGACACATTGTTAGACTGTGGTGGGTTGGCTTTGGCTGAAAGCCAGGTGCCCACCAAGCTGATCTATCCCTCCTCCTTTTCAGCTGGACAGGAGAGATAAAATAAGATGGAAAAGAACTTGTAGGTTGAGATAAGACAGTTTACTAAAATACACAAGTGAAGAGAAAAAAAGCATTCTTTACTTCCCAACAGCAAGCCATGTCTGGCCACTTCCTGGGAAGCAGGGCTTCAGCAAGCTCCAGAAGGCAAATATTCCTCCTTGCCTCCCTCTTCCTCCTCCTTTACTTAGCTTTTATATCTGAGCTGATGTCATATGGTATGGAATGTCCCTTTGGCCAGTTTCAGTCAGCTGTCCTAGTTACATACCCTCCCAGAATCCTGCCCACTCCCAAACTCCTGACAGGAAACAGAATCTTGGAGAGACAGTGCTGATGCTGTGCCAGTGCTGCTCAGCAGAGGCCAAAACACTGCTTTATCAACACCCTTGAAGCTACCAGTGCAAAGCAGAGCACTGTGAGAGCTCCTCTAAGGAAAGTCTTGCCTAGACCCATTATACAGACTCCTTGGAAATAAGGACAAAATTATTTCAGTACAGAAACCACAGACTACCGAAGGAATCAAGTTTAAAACAAACAAAAGGAGATTCTTTTGATCAGTAGGAATTTGGTGTGTAAAGCTGCTTTCCAAAGGAAACTGTGAATAAAAACCCCATTGTGTTCCATCAGAGGAAGATGGTATTGATGTTGAGAACACAGAAGGTCACTCAGAAAATCACATCTGAAAATAAGCGAAGGATGGGAGAGTCTTGGAGACATGGCAGTGAGATATGCTTGTATTGCTCTTATTATTTCCTGGACAACTGCTAATGGCAAGTAGTGGAGATGAACTGATGGCTCAATGCACCCTCCTTTTGAGATAGCACAGCCCTTCTTAGGTTGTCTTTTTATCATGACAAACATAACAGTGGGAGGTAAAGGGATTGATGCAAAGTAGGTGAAGCATCAACATTACAGGTTGTTTATAATTAATATTGTTTTACCTTGACCTTGACATTTAATGATAATTAAATAATTAAATAATATTAATAAATTAATAATTTAATAATGGTAATTAAATAATTTAAAATTTTTGAAAGCTCCTGCTCAAAGTAGTAAAAGTAAGATAGCAGTTCTGATATAGCTGCACATAAAATTTTTTCCTACTTGACAGAATGAAGAGCACATTTCATCAAAGCACAACAACCTTAAATGAGACTCTTGCTCAATACCCCTTTTTAACTGCAGCCATTCTTACTGTCACTCTTACAGTGCTTGTGTCATCGGCTGGGACATCTGTGAAACTCTGTATCTTTTTTTTAGAGATCCACACTTTGATAAGACAATGCTATAAATTCAGGGCAGAACAAGCATTGTTATAAAAACATTTTGCTTTGCTGTAATAAAAGAAATTATAAACCTGGTTATGCTCTTTTTTCTTTTAAGAAGAAAATCTGCAGGGGAAAAAACCCCAAACAACTAGAACCAAATTTCTGCCCTTGGAATACCATCATGGCCAGGAGTTTGACTAAAATGACAAAAGCTCTTTTATGGCTAATTTGCATTTGCAGAGAGTAGAGAAGCACAGGGAGATGGGTGACAAGTTCCTTGAAACCCATCTCTCCTTCCCTCACCAATCTCACCTGATATTTCATGTCCCAGCTGGCAGATGGAATTACAGTAACCTGTAGTGTTTCAGATGTTGTGCACTGGGTTGCAACAAATTGTTTGTCATGGCACTGTCGACACAAGGGTGTTTTTCAGTCAGTTCCTGCTGGTTCATCCTCACTAGCATGTGACCTCAATACTCATTCTGCACACCTCACATTACCCTCTTGTGGTCAGGTATTAAGCAACAAAACCCATGCCAACAGGGATTTGGTGAGACTAACTTAACTTCCAATTGCTAGTTGTTAAAGGTTTATTGAGCACTGTGTCTTTAATTAGGGAACTAAGGTGTAAACTGTAGTGTCCTTTGCAAAGTCAGACCTGTGGGAATAATTCCAGGAGTCAGTTCTGATGCTGGATAGTAATTGGGAACCCAAAAGGATTCACATATGAGTAGTAAATTAAGGTGCACAGTAGTAACAGGAATTTATACCTGGAACATCAGAGTTTTTAATGACCCCATTAAAAGGAATTAGGTCATTTCTTATTTAAAAGTTCAGGAGATACTGCATTTTTTAAGGATACAAAGAATGCACATGAGCAAGACATGAGGGCTTTTCTGTTGTCAGTTGGTGAGTGCTGCCATTCAGAATTAGTGTTGTGGCCAAATGCCAGACAGCCATGAAAGTAATTTATTCTCCCTCTTCTGTTATATTTGGGTGGAGGAGAGGGGGAAAAAAACATTAATGAAGGGCTCATGATTTGGGATAAGGCTTGGGAGAAAAAAAATACTCTAAGAGAAAAACAGGTTCAAATTTAAAGGTAAACAGTGGATTTATTATTATCAAACTCAAGAGGAAGATAATGAGAAGTAAAATAAGCCTTTAAAACACCTTTTCCCCCCCCTGCCCCTCCCTCCTTCCTAACAGCACAGGAAGACAGGGCATGGGGGTTTTGGTCAGTTCATCACTCAAGATCTTCTGTTCACTCAGGAAGAGGAATCTTTTCTCTAGGGTCTCTCCCACAGGCAAACAGTCTTCCCAAAACTGCTTGCTTGGGTCACTCATCCAGAGACTGCAGTCCTCTAAGGATAGGCTGCTCTAGTTTGGAAGCAGGAGCCCTCTCCCTCTCTAGCAGCAGGGGTCCTCTTTCTCTGTTCAGGTCTCCCCATGGATCACAGCCCCTCCAGCACCCACTCGCTCCGATGTGAGCACTTTTCCCACGGGCTGCGAGTGGATCTCTGCATCCCCCGTGGACTTTGTGCATTACAGGGGACAGTTTGTTTCACCACAGTCCTCATCTCAGCTCTGATGCTTGGAGCACTTCCTCCCACTCTTTTTTTCTGCTGACCCTGACATCACCATGTTGTATTCTCTCACATGTCCTCACTTCCTCCTCTTCTCTGATTTGAAGAAAAATCTGCTGCTTGTAGGTACCATTGTCAACAAAGTCCATGAATTCAGATTCCTGCAGGATCCTGCAGTACCAGGAGGTTGATCTCGTCTAGGTTCCACATTGGGGACTCATCTGTCACGTTCGCCATTGCACAGGCAGTTGTGGCTGTGGCGGTGCTGGTGCTATTTAACATCTCTCTTCATGTGGGGTGCCGGGAAGGAGAAGCCACCACGGCCAGCCCTGCCCTTATCACCTGTGGTGTGGCTGGCCAGGGGCAGCCAGGCAGGCAAGCTTGCTGCAGGACACACTGAGATGTCGTGGCCACAGCTCATGACCAGCCCAGAAAAAAACTGTGCCTGCACAATTTTGATTTTCTTCTTAAATATGTCATCACAGAGGCGTTACCAGCCTCTCTAACTGGGCCAGCAGCATGTCCATCTTCAGAGCCATCAGAGATTGGTGCTGTTGGACATGGTAGAAGCTTCTAGCAGGTGCTGACTTCCTAGACAGAAGGAGGGAAGTTAGGACAGACTATTTTCTATATCTTATTTTGTAACTGGTATACATGCCTGAGTTTTGCAGAGCAGAGCTGTAAGTGAGAGGGTGGGATTTACAGCAAAGAGATTAAAGGAATTTGAATTCTCAGGTGTTCGGGCTCAAGAGCCAGGTGGGACAGCACTTTCTAAAACTGGTAGGACAGACTCAGTTTTCTCTTGCAGAAATAGTGAAGACTTCATGTGGTGCCAGAGCCAGCTAGCTCTTCCACAGCACCTCACCAGGAGTGGGACACACCTCAGAAGCAGGGTGATGCATTTTAGATGCTCTATGGCACAGTTTGGTCATCAAGTGCAAGTGGAGGTAAGGAAGAGGAGGAGGTCTTTTGGATGGGTTCCAAAGAAAGTTTGACTCCTGGGAAGGTCCAGGGACAGAAGACAAAGGACACAGGGGGTGCAGCAACTTATACACAAAGGAGGTTCAAAGGGCGGATGCAACTCTTCAACCAATGAGGGGTATCCTGGGGAGGAGTATAAGGCGGGGTTTCACATGTCAACCAATGGGGAAGACATGGGGAGGAGAATAGGTCACATGGACCAATGGGGCGTGGAGGTTTAGGGGATTTCCCACGAGGTTGTCCAAGCGGGGGGTTGGCACAAGGGAGGATTGACATCTGAGGGGAGGAGGGACAGGGAACATTCGGGAACAAGGAGCAGGTATCAAGGTGGATTGGCAACTGGGACTACACTATTAACATAGGGTATAATAGATAAACCATTAAATTAAAAACACACCACAACCAAGACTGAGAATTCTTTTGGGGCTGGAATGTAAAAGGCTGGAATAATCAATGAAGATGGGTGAATACAGTGCATGTACACACTTCAAAGGCCAGATATGAGCACAAGATGTAGTGCTGAGTTTCCTCACATATCAACAGAGTACTGATATCACCATTTCTTTTCAGAAAGCCATCTCCTTAAAAAATATGAAAACCATTGGCATTTAGTCCTGATATAAAGAAGAACTTATATTTGTGTAGCTTTGGTAAATACCACTGAATCTGAATGCCAGTCCCCACCTGTCACTCTCAAGACACAGTTTAGGGTAAGTTTCAAAACTCTAATCCAAGCCTGCTTCAAATCTAAGTCCATATGCTGGACCACCTAACCTATCCAGGTAAGTTGTATCTGAAAATTAAATCTTACAAGCATGAATAAAAGCAGTTTGATATTTCATGACAAGAACATCATAAAACTGGCAAAAATAAAGAACATCTAGATCTGTGCAGGTCTTTGCTACCAGGTTGCCCAGCCAGAAGTATTAAGTGTTAGCCACTGCTCTGGTGCCTCAGCAAAGTAGCCTCCTTACTCATATAGAACTTTGTCTGTGTGTTGGAAATGGTAAAACCATATTAAAGCTCTTAAAAATTAACAGGAAAGAATGTCAGAATATCCAAATCTTACACAGAATTCTTGACAATAAAAGATTTATTCACTCCACAAGAATGACATGAAGCATGTGACATTTTTGGAGAGACAGAAGCTTAAGCCTCCAACCATCCCTGCTCAATTATAAACCTAGCAGGCTGTTCAGGTTTTTTTTCAGAGTCTGTTTAGGCTGCCAGGCTCCCTTCAGAGCAAGGGCAGACAGCAGTGACTAGAGGCTGTAGCTGGGTTCTTTCTCCAAAGATCTGGGAGATGGGGATCTGTAGCACTCAGTCCTCTGGAGAAAGAGAACACCATTGCCACAAGAAATATCTTGCCTTTGATCACCTATATTCAAGGTTAACTGTGCCCCTCAGCTGGATAAGCATAACAAAACATGTATTAGTTGTTTTTTTTCTCCAAGATACATGCCCAGCTTTCCGTAGAAATTATTCTTCCCTAAAACTGCTTTTTCTACTCTGAGAAAGGTTAACACTTGGCAGTATATTGTGAAATAGTAACTTCTGCTCACACATAACAATGTGAGAAAAACCTGTGCTGGTAAAGCCTAAAAGCTACAGACATTCCACATTATATATAGTGCCTTACAACTGGAGCACCATCTGAGGAACTGTTATTTTGCTTCTGATACCTAGTATTTTGCATTTAAAAGAAATTCAGTAGAACGAAGAAATAAACCTGATTTGGTATGGACTTGTGCCCCATACCTCTGCAATGTATTAACAATATTAACTTACTTTCTCTCTACTCTTTACCTAGAACATCCTGCATCCCTGAAACACCTACTTCACTCTCTCTACTATCAAAATAACACTATGCGGTTTGAGGTTACCTAGATGATGACACCTCATGGCTAGACAGCCAAAAAGGTAGTGGTTGAGGTTCACTTCTTCTCTGCTGTTAGTGTAGAAAACAGTTAAAAATTCTCCTAAAGCAAATTTTCAGTTTCCCACAAGGCTTCTATACACCTAAGTATTTTTGAGAAGCCTGTCTCTATCAAATTTTTTTTAGTCCATTCTCAAACTATCAAAGTGAAGGTGATTGAAAAAGTGATCATTTAGGCTTTCCCTTCAGAAGCTGAGGCTAATAATTTTTGTTCATCTGGTTTGCTGAGTAAAGTGTGCCATTAATGATTCTGCAATTTCTGCAGTGAAATTATCCCACTAATTTATGGTATTTTGGTAAATCCTGAGATTATGATGTTACCATTTAAGTTATTAATTTTCAGCCTTTTAAACATATAATCTGCTGAGGCTGATTGTTTATGCTAAAAGCTTGTTAACTTCCAAGGCAGAGGAAAGGCAGCCCAAATGTTTGAGCCTTGTTATGAGTGCAAGCTGCGTATTTGGGTGCCTGCACCCAAGAGTTCATGGTTTCTTCTTTCTGACAAGTCTCTCCTGATCCACTTTTTTCCTGAGAAGGAATGTGTTGCAGGTGTTTCTTGTTAATGTTCTGTTACTGCCCAAGCTGGTGGCTTGGTCCAAATGATTGCCCTGCCCAGACCCTCCCACCCCATGTTGTCAATCTACCCTGAGTTCCCTGTCAATCCTACCTTATCCCCTCCACATGCTTGGAATTCCACGTTGGAAATCCCCTAAATCCTAATATTTCATTAGTCTATGTGACCCAATTTCCCCCCCACTACCTCCCTCATGGGAGGATGATTTTGTGAACCCTGCCTTTTACCCTCCCCAGGATATCTCTGATTAGCTGATGCTTTGTACCCTCCCTTTGAATCGCCTCCCTATTTCAGCTGTTGCAGGCTCGCATTTTCTGTCTCTTGCCCCCAACATTCCCCAGAGCAATAAATCCTCTATTATCCCATGCAAAAGACCTCCCTCTCATCCTTGTGTCCTCAGAGTGCAGACTGACAGCCAAAAAGCCGGAGAGCGAGTGCTTTAGTCACACCTCGGGTCATCCTGCTCCTGGGGTGTGACCCACTCCTGTCGCAGGTCGAAGTGATAGAGATAAACTCTGGCCCCTGCGTTAGGAATGTTTCTAAATTGTTTTAGTTATCTTCCTACAAATAAAACACAAGTAAGCTGAACATACCTTCCAGTACTGGTATCACCTTCTATTTGCTGATTCTTCCAGTTTTTCATCTGAGCAGGGCAAAAGCAATCACACAAGGTATTGGCTTTGTTCCCATTGTTCTCAGCATGTTTTTCTCTCACCTTTATCTCAAGAAGCATGTACCTGATCTTAATTCTTCATGTATTTCTAGAGACTACATCAGCTTCTCTGAGTGACAGAGCTCTATGTGTATGCAGGTGACAACCCAGCAAACTGGCATTACATTACATTAAGCGGTGTTCCACGTAATAATAATGCATCTGCCTACATGGAAAGAAGAAAATATGACTGAAAGTTCTTATACCAGATTCCATTAATGAAATTCTGTTCAGCCTATTATCCCCATGGTGCTTTGACTGCATTTTTTCCTGCAAGCTCATCAGTTTAATAATCATAGAATCATATGGTTTGAGTTGGAAGAGACTTTACATCCAGCGCAAAACCCTCTGCCATGGGTGGGGACACCTTTCACTTGATCTGGTTGCTCAAATTTCCATCCAGCCTGGCCTTGAGCACTTCCAGGAATGGGGCAGCAACTTCTCTGGGCAACCTGTTCCAGTTCCTAATCACCTTCTTAGCAAAGAATTTCTTCCTAATATATAATCTGAACCTACTCTCAGTTTAAAGCCATTTCCTCTCATCCTGTCACTACATGCCCATATAAAAAGTCCTTCTTCAACTCTCTTGTAGCTTCCTTTGGGTACTGGAAAGTGCTATAAGGTCTTCCCACAGTTTTTGCCTCCTCAGGCTAAACAAACCAAACACTTTCAGCCCTTCTTCACTGGGGAGGTGCTCCAGCCCTCTGATGATCTTCGTGATGTTCCTCTTGATCAAATCAAGCACATCCTTCTTATTTTGGTGAGTCCAAAGCTGGACGGACCACTGCAGGTGCAGAGCAGAGGGGCAGAATCCCCTCCCTGGCCCTGCTGCCCACGCTGCTCTGGATGCAACCCAGGACATGTTTGGCTCTCTGGGCTGGGAGTGCCCATGGCTGGGTCATGATGAGCTTCTTGTGCAGCTTTACACCAAGTCCTCCTCACCCAGATGGCTCTCAATCCATTCTTTGACCATCCTGTATCCATGGCTGGGATTGCCCTGACCCAGCTGCAGGACCTTCCATTTGGCCTTGCTGAACTTGCATAAGTTTGCACAGGCCTACCTCTCCAGGCTGTCCAGGCCCCTTGGGGTGGCATCCCTGCCCCCTTGCGCGTCAGCCACACCGAACAGACTTGTGTGGTCAGCAAACTTGCATGGTCAATATTGATCCAAATCAACTGTTCTTTCAGACTTAACTACATGTAAAGCTTCATTAATGGCACGTTTCTCCTGCATTCATCCAAGCGAATTAAAAAATGTGTTACACTGTACCTCCTGAAAACCACAAGGTTACCTGGGGATGGCATCAAAAGAAGTGAAGAAGAATAAGCCCAATGAGAGTGAGGAAAGCTGTTGTGGTCAAGGAGGTCACCTGAAGAGAGTTTGCAGACATGAGCTGGTTGCAGTGGGCTGTGGATGGGGACACTCTGGTTTGTAATAGATGAGAAAGGGAAGTTGCAGAAACTTCATATTTTCAGCTCAGCCACATGGCCTTGTTTTCTCCCCTCCATTCTTAGGGGGCAGCAATAGAAGGTCATTTTTCTGTGTCCATTGACTGTCCTTTAGGCAGGATTCAAAGGGATTTTCTGATCCCTACCAGGTGCAGCAGACCTGGAGTGATAACATTCACTATGAAGATAACTGCAGCTTGTCCTGGAAAGGCAGAATTTTAAGTGCAAACCCACTTACATCTGCAAGAGAAATGAGGAACCAACTTCACAGTACTCAGAAGACCAGATAAGGTATCTTTGTGTTCACAGTCAACTTTAATTTGCATTACCCAGAGCAATCAAGTCACAGGTTGGAGAAGGACCCCTTCTTCTCTAGGGTTTTGTTCATGGAGCCTCATCACATTTTCTATTCATGTCTAATATTATAAAACACATGAATCTTAAAAATCTTTACTAAAATTAAGATAGATAGTATGAGGAACAAAAAAATGTCCTTTTAGACCTACTGTTTAACTCTCAAATTCTCCTTAACTCTGAACAGTTAATTCTCAGAACTTAAACTTCATAAATAAATAGGAAGAAACGCTCTGTGTTGACCAGGATTCATCCCTGTAAATTCTTCTGCCATAGGGCTACAACTGGAATGCTTCACATAAAACTTCACATTGTTTTCATTTCTTAGATTTCCCCTCAAGATGAGCACATTTTCATTATGTTCTAACAAGTGATGGTAGAAAAATGATGTTTGGGCCTCCTTTCCCAAAACACATGAACACTTTATTTGGGGACTAGAATGATTGTATAGGATTCGTCAGGAAAAAGCACAGCTTACTTCTGTCATTTTATTCTGTGGAAGTCCAGCTGAACTCACAAGATAAAGAGCATCAGCACAAAGGCAGCAAGCACCTTTTCATATTCTTGTCAATGTGAATTGTACTGGGTTTGCAATGCTGGGACTCCAGCAGTGTTTCAACTGCTTCTGATCCAGCGTGGCAAAAACCAACCAACCAACCAACCAACCCAAGAACCCAGTAGCATTAGAGCAGATTATCCCACCGTCTCTATCCTGGCTGAAAAAGAGTGATAAGTCGTAAGGATTAAGAGTCCATCTGCCTCACAACAGACATTACCTAAACATTAATTCCTTTACACTGGCTTCTCCACATGTTCCTTCTCAGAAAAATAATTACTAGCAGCAATAACTAGAAAAAGAAAAAAAGGCAAAGAGGGGACCAAATGCAGGCACTTGGGGTTTTTTTCTGTGCTAGCAATGCAACTCAGTTCTTCAGGTATTCATGAGACACTTGTAGTCAAAGACAAAAGCTGGTATTCCACAGTCTCTGTCTACAACAGTCTTAAATGTTCTAATGAGGCTTGATCACTCTCATTATGCATGCATTTTCTATTTGCTGTGATCTACAAACAAACATCAAAAGGGCCAGTAGCATACTGCTTAGGGATTTCAGTGAAGCATTAAAAAGCAGAGCAGCAGAATATATCTTTCATTTGTCTTGAAGTACAGACTACCAGAATCCTCTTTCTTTCTTTTCCCTGTTCCTTTCTTTTAAGGTAACTTAATCTGGTTGATAATTACCTCCTCTGTGAAGTTTCCACAACTTTCATTTTAGCAACAAAGCAGCATTAAATGATTTTCCAGTTGATAACTAATAGTAAGCAAAAAGATACAGAAGCAGTTAATAAGGATTTCTGGATGAGACATATAAGAATGTTAAGTATACCAGCACTGTATGCAGGGTGAATCTTATTTATAGCATGAAGTAATTTCAATAATAATAATACACTTTTGGATTCAATGTACAGTATTATGTTTGTTTTATTAATGAAATACTAACCTCTTAGCTCAAATCAGCTGCCACTTTTGTGGTTGTCTTTTCAGAGAAGAAAAGATGTTAACAAATGGTACCATAAAACATCATCTGGGATTTGACTTTAGGACTTTAAAAATTTTGAGAAAATTAGGAATTTTCAAGGCCCAATTATCATGGTGCTTTATTGTAAGTGCATTAAGCAGGAAGAACACATTTGCCATGAGTAGAGGATTTCATAGCATTTCTCCATGATTTTCACTATAACTAAGCCTTTATTACCTGGAACATTATGGTAAACTGCATTTTCAGACACTGTAGTGCCATTACCAGAAATACTATAGCCTTTTCCAAAGAAGATACTTTCAGAAGGTACATTAGGAATGGAGGGATTTGGCAGATGGTGAACTTTGTGTTTATGCTGATGTCATCCAAGACACACTGTCGTAGGTAGGGCACCAAAACTGGCTGTAAAAAGAAGTGCCTCCACCTCTGAGACTGTAGCCCAATGAAAATTAATCTTTGTTTTTTAATCAAACATTTTCTTTCATTAAACTTGCTTCTTCTATGCTTTCTTCCCCTTACTGTGGTAGAAAAATGAAGGATCCATGCTGAGAATACTAAAAAGAAAGGACATGTAACAGTTACGCTCCTTTGAGAGATTATCTGTGCCATCTTTTTGTGTTAACTATGCCCTCCAGATGAGGTGTCCAGCACAGTAAGTGATGATACAATTTTTCTTCTCTTTTTATTGAGTTAATTACTGAAGGATGATGGTCCATCAAAATAATTATTTGATTCTGTGATAATCATAGAATATCCTGAATTAGAAGGAACCCACAAGAATCACTAAGTCCAGCTCTTGGCCCTGGGAGGACACCCTGTGCAGAATCACACCATGTGCCTGAGAACATTGGCTAAACGCTGCTTGAACTCTGTCAGGCTTGGGGCTGTGGCCACTGTTCTGGGGAGCCTCTGCCAGTGCTCAGCCACCATCTGGGTGAAGAGCCTTTTCCTGATATCCAGCCTAAACTTCCCCTGATGCATCTCCAGGCCATTCCCTCAGGTGCTGTCACTGTCACCACAGAGGAAATCAGTGCCTGCCCCTGCTCTTCCCCTCAAAAGGAGGATGTAACTGCAATGGAGGTCTCCCCTCAGTGTCCTCCGGGCTGAACTGACTGTGTGACCTCAGCTGCTCCTCACACAGCTTCCCCTCGAGGCCCTTCACCATCCTTGTGGCCCTCCTTTGGGCACTCTATAGCTTTACATTAGGCTATTGTGGCACCCAGAGCTGTCCCCAGCACTGGAGGTGAGGCTGCCCCAGCTCAGAGCAGAGCAGGACAATCCCCTCCCTTGCCTGGCTGATGCTGTGCCTGATGTCCCCAGGACACGGGTGGCCCTCCTGGCTGCCAGGGCACTGCTGGCTCATGTTCAGCTTGCTTCAAACTAAGACCCCAGGTCCCTCTCTGTGGCACTGCTTTCCAGCATCCCATTCCCCAGTGGATTCTGCACATCCAGGGCCACCCCATCCCCAGTGCAGAATTGGGCACTTGTCATTGCTACACTTCTTTCAGTTGGTGATTACTCAGCCCTTTAATTTGTCAAGGTCTTTTTGAAGGGTTTCTCTGTCTTCAAGGGAGTCCATGGGTCCTCCAAATTTGGTATAATTCTGTGTCTCTCATTGCACTACCCATGCACATCAAGAATAGCCAAATTCACAGAGCAGCCAGCATCTGCTCAGGACAGGGCCAAACAGTCTGACACATTTAAGGTATTTCTAGTTGTTCCATGGCTATATTAAAAATAAAATTTCTTTAACACACTTCATAAAAAGTGGATCTGGAAGATTCCACAGATTCCAAGATCTGGAAGATCTTGGAAAAGTAACAATTTCCTACAGCATTTAATTTTAAATAAAACCTTCAGTATATACTCATACAATCTTTCAGTAACAGCAGAACTCTTTCCTAACAAGCTGGCCTATACTCTTCATTAGTACCATGGCCACTGAAAAGCTAAACAAGTAAGTTTTTTTTCTCAAGAAGAGTGATATCATGTGCTCCCCAGGGAAAGGATTTATTTCTGCACACTTAAATCTATCTCCAAAGTGGCAACTGTTTAGCAAGAAGAGTTTTTTATTGATCTTCCTGCTTTATTACACCTGTGTGAGAATTATTGTGGACTCTAATTAGGCAGCTGTTCTCTCTCCACTTACAAGGAAAAAAGTTTCAATTAGAGTAAAACAAATCAAATTGTTAAAGCACTAATTAACTTTTCATTTTGCTATAGATAATGAGAAGAAAATTGGCTTGAGTGTTCAGACATTCATACAAGACTCCAGTCAGTTTTTATGTAATAATAACGCTAAATTCTGTTCTCAGCTGAATTATGTAAATAAAGACCTGTATTAAGTCCATTGGGTCTGATGTTCACCAGTACTGGGGCCCTCTTTTTGGTCCTTTTACACTCTTAGATCTGGCATAGTAATGCTATTTCTTCCTTCCCTAAAATACCTCAATAAGAATTAAAAAACCTCAATAAGAATTTTCCAGTGGAAATATTTTTTCAGAAGCAGGTGTCTTTAAGCCGTCTTGAACATTTCAAGTGGCCTAGGTGTAGAGTAGTTACATGACCAGCCACCACCCTTGTGCACAAGGCAACACGTTTTCCACCCTTTACCAATTTTTAATCCTCACCAATTGAATTTGTGGATGCAGGTTGTTACTGAGTTGAATAATTCCATGTGATGCATAGAAAAGGTTTTGGGGCTGTGTCCACACTGATTTTGTGAGGATGAAGACCAGAAGCCTACAGACAGAATTTTCCTTGTTGTAGCTGAGAGCCAACTAACATGCAACAGAAGGCAAAAATTTTAAAAACTAGACTTACAGGCTAAATTTTGGGTATTTATCATACATTTGTGGCTGTGTATTGTTGTTCTACCGAAATAAGACTTAGGAAAGAAGGCAGGTGGATTGTATTCTACTTTTTGACAGCATGTTCTCCTGAAAAATACGTATCCCTGAAGGTCTGGAGCCACACATGCCTGTTCCCCATGGAGCACAGAGGTGCCACCCTGATGCAAGGCAAAACCAGCCCAACAAGCCAAGCATCTGCTGAGCTACTGCCTCTCCTTCTTGGCAGTGCACAGCTGGACAAGCCCAAAGTGCTGCCCCTCTTCTCTTCCTCTCTCCTTCAATGGCTGATGCAAGAGCATTACAAAAGACAGCCCCAAACTCTCAAGGCTGGGCCCTGTGGGTGGTAAATGAACCAAGGGAGAACTCCCTGGCATCTCTTCTTGGCAGCAGGGTCAGGCTGACAGCCCCAGCCTGTTGTCTCTGCTTCACCACCATGCATGCTTCCAGCCCTTGACACACCCCAAAGCCTCATTCCATTCCCTGTGATCAGATGCTGCATTACCCAAGGGATGGAGGGGAGAGGAGAGAAGCAAGGGAGGACAATGATCCCTAAAACCTGAGTGAGCTGCACTGCACTTCTAGGAGGAGCTTACTTGTTATTTTCCGTCTCTCCTGCCTCCTTCGTCTGAGCTGGGGCAAGCCCTGGCCTGTTGTTGAAAGGGATTTTGTCAGAATGTAACACTAGCTTAGTAACACCTGTTTGCATTTTCATAGAGACTAGCATAGGAAGGAAATGTTATTCTAACTCAGCACACATATGTTCCTATCTCAGGTTGCATCCTTCCTGGCGGTAGGGAAGCACTCAGATGTTTTTCATCTGAATTATTTTGCACAGTGTGAGCTACCCCACCTTTCCCATCCATTACTGCCACCATTCTTTTTGCACAGTAATGAAAAGGCTGTCCTCAGAACCCCATAACTAATATTACCATGTCTGAAAATGGAAGGTATTATTAGTAGTATTAAAGCTTATATAGCAGCCCTTTAAATAAGACTGGAGTTCTATTTTCTGTGACCACATTCAACAATACTGTAAGAATCTTACTCTGCTATGAGAAGGCTGTACTCTACACACACCTGGACAGAATATGCTTTGGGAAATGGAGGCACAAAGCAGAACTTCCACATATCCCTAGTCCTAAAGATAAAAGAGCAGATACACAGTTCAGCCAGCAGTAAAACAGATCTTTTCAGGACTACCTTTATGCTAAATTAACTCCTACAATATGGTAGATAGAGGCAAAAATGTATGCAAACATGTTCTTGAACCAGCATGAAATTTTGGTTATAATGAATTTCTAATACAGAGCCAAAACTAGCCCAGGACTGCAAAGGGACAGAGTAGCATACAGCAGCAGGTAAAGGGGCTGTTTGGTTTCCCTTGCAGTAAGAGAACACTCAGTACTTCTGCACATCAGAATCCTGCTACTCGTGCACAGAGCAAGCAGTGACATCACTCAAAACAAGCCGTAAGTATCATCAGTCACACGCACCTGGGTTTCCTCCTGCCCCAGCACATTGTCAGTGAGAGAGGTAATAATTTCTCCCAAGTAAAACCACTCCTATTGGTGCATAGGCCAGAGGTGAAGTATTTTGGGTGGAATGGGCTCTGACCTGAACCTCTGCCCCAAAATGAAATAGTCTTGCTCTTTGAGTGTTCTTTTTTACCAGCATTGTGCATCTGTGAACCTTCTGAATTATGTCTCAAAAAATGAACCAAAGACCTCACTTATACCAGATCTTGGAGCTTTTTTCCAGATTTAAGGAGGTTTGAACACATTTGCATAAGGAAGCTAAACTGGCTTGTTTCTGGGGGGTGTTTTGGCATTTAACTGAGAGGACAATAAAATCATTAACTCGTGGGACAAAAGAAAAAAAAAGAAATTATTTGTGACACTAAATATGAATCCCATTGAAAATTTCTGAATTGTTTTATCCACTGATAATGTACTAAAGATCTTTCATAAAACACATATATGGAGGGATATAATAGCAGAGGACTCATCTGAATTACATGTCAGTCCATGTAGTCATCTGGAAAATCACTTAAAGTATGGCATTGTCCCACATTATCTACATTATGGTTTGAGACAGTAAAGGCTGCACAAATTCAATGCAGAAGCAGACATCAACCCTGCTTCATCAATTAAACCAGTACAGCAAATAAAAAAAAAAACTGTAAAGAATATTTATTCTTTCATTATACTGTGACATATTATTTAGAGCACTGGAAAAAGTCAGGGAGGTCATCTGATTATCCATATGAAGTTGAAAACAGTTCTAGAAAAGTAAACAAGGCAATTTTTTTGCCTCAGAGAGCAGATTGTGCAATGCAGTGTCAGATAACATACTAAGATCAAAACAGGAGAGCCCCTTGAAATTTCCAATATAGACAAAAAAATAGATGATGGTCTGAAGTACAAAAAGCCAGCACAAAACCAGAAGTAGTTTGAAGTAACAATAGTTTGATATCAGCTCAGAGGAAGTTGAACAGACATGACTACAAAGCATTTTTACTTGAAAATTAAACTGATTCAAAATTAGGGCTATGTTTGCTAATAAATTAAAGATGCACCAAGCATTTCACTCAGTTACACTGACAACAATACAAAGTGATCAGATTTTTTTGACTCTTACGGCAAAGTATCCAGATAGATGCTGAAAAAGAACAAGAATTGAAGTCCAGGTAAAGTAATTTGCCTTTTACACTGAACCTGTCAAGTAGTATATGATTTTATGAAAACATCAGCAATATAATTCTGATCCTTTCTGGCACTTAGGTTTCTTAATTGTAATTTTTTAATTAGAATTTTTTTACAGCCAAGTTGAAAAGTTTAAAATGCTAGTTTAGACAGTGTCACTCAGCCCCACATATAAAGATTATGATCCACTTATTCACTCATTATTTTACTAGCATTAACCATGGTGTTCTTAATTACAGTTTTTATCCAAACTCACTGATGTTCTATATCAAATCTTAGGAATTGCCTTCCACACGTGGTTTCTGCTGTAGAGAACACTGCAGCACCACATCTTGATTTCCTGTGAAATCACCTGCTTCTAGGACAAGGTTTTCCATAAAAATATGTCAATTTGTTGATTTTAGAATCAAAACATTATACACATTTTACAGCTCCGTAAAAACAGCCTCAATTAATACAGCCCCTTTCATAGGTGTGCTATGACCTATTATTTCATGCAAGTATTATTTCATGCTGAGTATCATGCCACAGAAGACCTGGACTTGTCACCAACTTCAGACACTTACAGACCCTCGTGTATGTTTAGAAGACATGTATAAGACAAGTAAGCTCCTCCACAGTCAAGTAGCTGAGCTGAGCAGGGCCTTTATACATCCCTGCTTTTGTTAACAGGGGGGTAAAGCAGCTGGGATAGAGTCAAGTGCCTCAAGAATGTCTCCTGGCAAGGAGACAGTCCGTTCAGTGACATAACTCATTCCTTTTTCAGAAAACTGCAAGGTCGTAATTCACAGAGGTGTGGGCCAGGGAGAACTGAAGAAGAGAATCAGTTCAGGGAAGAAAGCAAGAAAACAAAAAGAAGAGACCTCATCACAGTCAACTGCTTCCTCAAGAGGGGAAGCAAAGAGGCAGACGCTGATCTCTGTGGTGACCGGTGACAGGACCCAAGGGACTGGCCTGAGCTTGTTTCAGGGGAAGTTTAGGTTGGGTATTAGAAAAAGTTTCTTCACCCAGAGGGTGTTTGGTCACTGGAACAGACTCCCCATGGAAGTGGTCGCAGCACCAGCGTGACAGAATTCAAGAGGCGTTTGGCCAAAGCTCTCAGGTACATGGTGTGATTCTTGGGGATGGTCCTGTGCAGAGCCAGGAGTTGGACCTGATGATCTTTGTGGTCTCTTCCAACTCAGAATATTCTGAGATACAATGGTTGTAATTGTTGGCAGAGACAGAGAAAACAGAAGGAAATCTATTATACACTTACCTTGGCTACTCATCTAGTCCCTACTGTAATCACATCAGAAATGCACTACTGGACTGGGACACGTAGGAGAAGCACCCTCCTCTGCAGACCTCTGGGGTCAGAGAGAGCAGAGTGGGAGACAGAGGCACAACTGGCTGGAGATGGTGAGCCTGAGGATATGGACTGCTGTTGAAGCAAGGGAGCACACTTCAAGTTGTTGGAAACCTTTTTGATGTGTGCCCAAGAGCGTTCCCTTGGCAGCACCGTTTGTGGCTATGCAAGGAGCTGAGCTAAGCCTGTGATATCAGCTCCTGGCCAACCACAGGCTCCTTCAGAGACGTAAGATTCATCTTTTTGCAAGGAGGATAGCCCATCCCCTGCAGAAGCACGGTCTCAAGGGACATGACACACTGCTTTTATCTCCAGCTACCCAGTCTCTGGACCTTGAAAGTTTTCACTGCAGTGATTCCAGTGAAGCAAGTCTTAGGTGAGGTTATCCACATCACAGATGATTCAGACACACAAAATGCAGAACAACCCTCTCCAAAACATCCAAGGCCTGAGGCTTGAGGATGAGAAATTCGCTTCATGTGGTAATATTGTAAAACACAGGAAAAATAATATTGCTATAATAAGCTACTGGAAATGGTCCTAATATCTTATAGGTAGATGAAGATATTTGCCAGCTTTGTCACTGCCTGGGGATGACACAGAATCACTGCTGGAATTTGCTCAGTATGCATTCATGGTTTCTTGCCCTTTCACAGTCCATGCTCAGATGGGCCAAACAGCGCTGTCAGGGACTTCTGCAAACATGTGTCTTCCAGGAATCTGCACTTGTAATGTATTCCTCTCAGTGGCTTCAAAAATAGCATTCTGATATTTGAGTTGAGGAAAAATGAGGAAGAATCCATAGAAATTAGCAACAAATTGGTAATACAGACCAGCCTCTTTAAATGTTGATAATAATAGTAATACATAATAGTGTAATCCCAAGTAGAGCAAAAAGAATTGTGAGTAGGGCAAATGCATCTCAGGGCACATAGCAAACACTGGCTGGCTGTGCTTACAGAGGTTGTTAAATACTCCTGAGTTTTTAAGATACAGTTCTCAGTTTCACTCCAAAGACCTGGCTGAGCTCAAATGCAAAAAATAGTTTGATGCTCCTTTGGAAGACTGAATAGCAATAATCCACCATGGCATTTACACAGTGCTTCTCTCTTTGCTGTTTTACAGACATCATTCAATCAATTCTTGTGTCTCTCCAGGGAATTAAAATATGCGTTTCAGGGATGAGGAAACTGAGGAAGAGGAGCTAAACACCTTTGCATGGTTCACAGGGATTTGGTCACAGCAGAAGTTGTTGGATTCAGGAGGCTACACCACCCCCATCTGCACCTACACCACAAGCCCACACTTTCTCCTTTTGGTATTACTGCAATACAAATGCTTCCTTTCTCTTATGTGCTTGCCAAGATCTGGAGCAGAAGCGTCATATTCTCAACTATGCCAGTGGATGTGGTCATTCCATTGTCAAGGTAATTTATATTATATACAAAAGCTTCTTCTAAGAGTGTTGGTAAGATATATGGGCATAGTAAAGGCCTAATAAAGACTAAGCCACACTAATAAAATGCAAAGGTTGTCATTTAGAATGGAAAATCCTATGATTTAAAGGCAGTGGCCAAATATTGGATCATTTTATATACTGTTAATAAATCAGAACAAGCAAGGCACAGAACATGTGGTGTAAAAGTTAAAGCTCTTATCAAAGTCTGCCTGACAGGGACTCCAGGATTTCTATGCTGGATAATGCCTATGTGAGAACCTCCTCCACTGTGCTGGTGGCATCACATACAGTCTGCCTGTGCTGACTTGGCTCAGGGGTGACTTTTGCGGAGAAGGTCTTGTCACCTGTTGCTGTCATCCTGCTTTCAGGTCCATTTGCTCAGGTGTCTGTAGTCTAATCAGGTGCAAAGAGGCTCTGCAAACAGGATATGTGCAACTTCACAAATATATCACAAGTGTTTCCTGCCTGGCGCATACAAAACATGGCTATGATTTGATGAGCCACAGACCACCTCTTGTAAGGAATCCACCAAGCCTTTGTTGCCCGTTGGGTAATATCTAGGGGAGTGTACCCCTTCTAGAGTAAACCCTTGACATTAAAACTCAGTGTCTTTTCCACCAGCTCCAAGGACACACAATTACCTGGCAACCAGCTTCCAGTTTATTTCCAACAGGAGTTATTCACAGAATCACAGAATCACTGGGTTAGAAGAGACTTCCAAGACCATTGAGTCCAACACATGCCCTAACACCTCAACTAAACCATGGCACTGAGTGCCACATCCAGTCTTTTTTTAAACACATCCAGAGATGCTGAGTCAACCACCTCCCCAGACAGACCATTCCAGTACTTTATCACTCTTTATCACTCCAAAGTAAAACACTATTTCCTAATATCCAACCTGTATTTCCCTTGGCTTAAGACTGTGTCCTCTCGTTCTGTCAGTTGCCATCTGGAGAAAGAGACCAACCCCCACCTGCCTACAAACCCCTTTCAGGAAGCTGTAGAGAGTGGTAAGGTCTCCTCTGAGTCTCCTTTTCTCCAGGCTAAACAACCCCAGCTCCCTCAGCCATTCCTCACAGGGTTTGTGCTTCCAGCCCCTCACCAGCCTCGTTGCCTCCTCTGGATGTGCTCAAGTGTCTCAATGTCCTTCCTGAACTGAGGGGCCAGAACTGGACACAGCACTCCAGGTGTGGCCTCACCAGTGCCCAGTACAGGGGGAGAATGACCTCCCTGCTCCTGCTGGCCACACTATTCCTGATCCAGGGACCATTGGCCTTCTTGGCCACCAGGGCACACTGCTGGCTCATGTCCAGCTGGCTGTCACCAGCACCCCCAGGTCCCTTTCTGCCTGAGCACTGTCCAGCCACACCATCCCCAGCCTGCACGGGGTTATTGTAGCCAAAATGCAGGAGCTAGCACTTGGACTTATTAAACTTCATCCCACTGGACTCTGCCCATCCTTCCAACCATTCCAGGTCTCTCTGCAGAGCCCTCCTCCCTTCCAGCAGACTGACACACACTCCCAAAATTTACTAATGAAGGACTCAGTACTCTCATCCATGTCACCAATAAAAATATTGGACAGTACTGGCCCCAGCACAGACCCCTGAGGGACACCACTGGTGACTGGCCCCCAGCTAGATGCAGCACCATTCACCACCACTCCCTGGGCCATCCAGCCAGTTCCTAACCCAGCACAGAGTGCTCCTGTCCAAGCCATGGGCTGCCAGCTGTTCCAGGAGTGTGCTGTGGGAGACAGTGTCAGAGATCTTGCTGAAGTCCAAACAGACACATCCACACCCTTTCCAGAATTCACTAGGTGGGTCACTTGGTCATAGAAGGAGATCAGGTTGGTCTAACACAACCTGCCCCTCCTGAACCCATGCTGGCTGGGTCTGATACCCTGGCCATCCTCCAGGTGCTGTGTGATGACACTCAGGATAAACTGCTCCATTACCTTACCTGGTACTGAGGTCAGGCTCACTGGCCTATAATTACCAGGATCCTCCTTCCCACCCTTTTTGTGAATGGGAGTCACATTGGCCAGCTTCCAGTCATCTGGAACCTCTCTGGTGAGCCAGGACTGTTGGTAAATGATGGAGAGCGGCTTCACAAGCTCATCTGCCACTCCTCATCACCCTGGGATGGATCCCAACTGGGCCCATAGATTTATAAACATCCAAGTGGCTCAGCAGGTCTCTGACTGCCTCCTCCAGGACAACAGGTAAACCATTCTGTTCCCTGACACCATCTAGCAACCCAGGAGGACAGTTGTCCCAAGGACAGGCCATCTTCCCTCTAAAGACTGAAGCAAAGAAGGCATTCAGCACTTCCACCTTCTCCTCATCTGCAGTTACTAAGTCCTCATGTCAGTATCTTTCCCCTTACGCACTTGGGATTTCTTGATCCCCCCTACCTGTAATTTTACCCTTGTTAACCTATTGCTTATTTTCTACAGACATTTACACAGTTTTTTGTCAGGCCAGCGCCCTTAGCTGAGGTTATGCAACCAGTGGGAAGCCAAGTGGAGCCTTGAGTCCCTTGAGCATCAGCAGCCAAGCCCTGGGGGTAGGGGAGGGTAACACAGAGGAAGGTGCAGTGCCCTCTGCAGCATGATCACACTTACCCATCTATTTTATACTTGTTGGAAGATGTTTAGTCTCACACTTTACTCTCACTCTTAAACACTTTAGGTTAGACTATGCATGCATTGACTCCACATCATCACAACTGAGGCCTGATGTTATTAGAAGGGTAAAGAGCAGAAAATTTAATAGAAACCTGAAGAACCTGAGTGACTGAACAATGTATTCCTCTACAGGCCATAGTCCTTTGCAGACTCAGTGGAAGAAGGAATAAAAAGGGGATTTGTCTCTTGTGAGCACAGGGCATTCCTCAGCACATGTATCCAAGCTTAGCAATGCCTTCTCTGTGCAATAGTGCTGAATGCAATGTGACTGCTCATCTGAGCAGGTCCTGGCTTATGTGACAGCAACCTCTGGTGTTTCACTCATCACAGTCTATTTCCTGAGGCATTGACATTTAATCCATGATCTTGAATCAAAACATCTTCTGATCTGCATAAAAAAAGCTCTTTATGCAGAAACATTGCCATTTCCATTTCCATCTAGGTGCTTCTTCTAGCCTTTGGAGAGCTAGGATATGCTGATGACTATGACAATGATCTCCAGCTGGGGTTTGTAAGGTATCCATTCCCTAGGGAATGGAGTGCCTTGTGTCTGATCTTTCAGCCCTAAAACTGTTTAAGCTTTGCAAATAAGGGAACACTTAAAAGCCGTAGTTTGACAATAATGGAAGAAATTTACCGAAAGATCAAATAGCAAACACATTGTTAAGATGACATTTAATGATGAAAATTTTCCTTGGGTTCTGCAGTGCTGCCACTTGCCTGTGATTCTGACTAATCAGTACCTGTAATGTCCTTAAAGGCTGTCATGTCCTGGAGAGTTTTTGATCTGTGTCTTTTCTGCTTTTATAGCTAATGATGACTACAGGAGCCACCTCTGACAATTATTTTAGGCAATCTTTTTTCCCCCAGTGTATACAGAAACACCTTTTCCTCATCTCTCCTTACCTTGTGGTTTAACAGACCCTTAATGACCAGCTCTATGGGTGCTGTATGCTAAGAAGGAGGCTGGGTTTATTTTATCTTCTTTTCATTAAGGTCTTTTAATTAATATTTCCATTGAATAGCCGAACTAGAGCACTAATAGCTCCAAGCTTAAACAGTATTTTCAATTTACCTAGTCTTTTAAGGCACAGTGTTAAAGCTTTACAAGTCATGTATTCAAGAAATTATTAACCAGATAATAAACATATGTTTTGTTAGCCTGAAAATCAGTTCACTAGCACCACCAAAGAAAGGGTAATCACAATCTCTCAGCACCATAGAAAGTGATACCATGATCTCCTGGTCTAAATGAATGATAGAACTGGAAAATGTACTAGCTTGTTCGGTTAGTGCTTCTTTACCCCCACTGCAGCTTCATACCCCCCAGAGAAGCATAGTCACACTAACAATGCTCCAATATTAAATAATATAAATGCTGTGCTAATAGTTTTCATCATTTTCAACTAAAGTGCAGCTGCCTGCATGACCTGACATGTTTCCCCAAAGCAGTATTTCAACAACCATTACAGAAGCTGGTGTATCCCCTGGAGTTCCAATTTAATGCCTTAAAACCACAGGTTTAGCTGTTGAAGTTTTATAGTTTAAAAATTATTCTAAAACTTATTTTATAGTTGAAAATTTATTTTATTTTAAACTCTCCAGAATGCCCTCCAGCCTGTTAATAAATGACAGAATAGGCTTGCTCTCTTCCAGCCAAACTGAACCAGAGAGGTTATAGAGCAGCACAACCACACCACACCGAATGAGCAACCAAACAACTCTAAGTGACACAGCACAGAAATCCTCCATTTAACATCCATGAAAAGGTCTCACTAAGCTCATTAAATTTTTTTGCCTACATTATGTTGTTTGTGTGTTTTTGTGAGAGAGAAAGCAAACCAAACTGAGCTCAACAATCAGGAAGGGGTTTGGCTGTTGCAGCATGGCACAGCCCTTCAACAGACAGGGATACAGTGGGTGAGTGCTGAGTATTAATACCTACACTCCAACTCTAGTGTGACACTCCTTTGTCTCCCAGCATCATAAAGTGCTTCGCCAAAGTAAGCATAATTGTCTCCACTCCTAGCAGAGTACCTGCAGAGACAGATGATACTTCGCCTTTGGCAAAAAGGGAGTAACACCCTGGCACATATGCCTGCCTCTCTCAACAAGCTGTTGTGCCAAAAGTGTCAAAACAAAAAGATTTTTGTTTTCCTGTCTAACCTGTTTTCTTCTCAAAGGACAGGCCTCATTTCAGAAACAGGCATTTCAAAAAAGCTCTTCTGAGGTGCTTTCCTACCAATGTAAAGCTCTGTCCCCTGTAGTGGCTGAACCCTATATCAAAAAAAGCTTGAGGAGCTGTTCAAGCAAAAATGCTTGCAGGTCTGCAGGTGCAAGATCCATATCAGCTAGCAAAAGACTGGGGGGCAGCAGCAAAGTAGCATATTTTTGCAACCTCTGGAAGGTGAAGATAAAATCTTAATGCAAAGATTGAAAAGTGAGTGAGAAAATAAAGCAGGGAAGTACTATAGCAAGGAGGTAGCTTTCATGGAAATATTTTGGACAAACTGTTAGAAATGAAACATTTGTATGTCCTTTTAGATCTGCAACAAATGATGAAAGAGACAACATTATAAGAGCTTCAGTGTATGAGCGCCTCTTCTGCTAAGCCTTTTGACTTTAAAATAGCTAAGTCTACATGTTTGAAAAATTCCAAGTTTTTTACAGTACAATAGAGTTTCATTTTTACTAAAAATGAGGACTGTGTCACCTCCTGCCACTTCATCTATCTGTTCTCTGTTATGACAGCCCAGCTCTTCCATAGGTTCTTAATTCATATGGAGAGCTGCCTCCAACAGATGATCAGGCCGAAGATCTGGCAGAGATCTGGAAGCACAGGAGCTCATAACAGTTGTGGATGACACAAACTGACAAGGTGGCAAATAACCATGGGGACTCTTTGGTACACATATATAAAATATATAAATTCATAATCCATACAAATAATACAAATGAGGTTTGTGTATACACACAAACATACATATGCATATCTGCTTAGGCAACCTGGATTGTTCAGAGAATTTGAACTATTTAGGCAAAATAGGCTTCTATGTGACTATTTAGTACATGGCCATGGTCATAAAAGGAAGTCCTGAAAGTCATGCCTACAAATGGCTGCAGTGTGGGTGGCAGTGTGATAAGTAAGAGTCTCAGCTCTACAGGAATGATTCTGTTGTGTTGGAATCCAAAATAAAAGCCTCTCTGAGCTCCTGAGAGAGAGAAAAGAATTAAAATATATTAAACCATAGATATAAAGTGTAGGTTTTAGTTTTAAGTAGGTAAAAAGATAGCTTAAGTGCCCTAAGAGTCTGTGTTAGCTAGTGAAATGCCTTATTACCCAGTTTAAAGTTCAGTGATAATACCCTTCACAGATTCAGCTTAGCTCTAGACATAATGAAAATACAGTTTGCATTCTTGGATAAGAACAGATAGGATTATTCACATAAACAGATAATACCCTATACGTAAGATTTAAGAAAAAAGAACATTGCTTTTGCATGTTCGAATTAAGTTCAGATTTGTGTAGAAAGTATTGTTTTAGAAGCGTGTTTTTAGCTGATTAGATGTTTTATGAATTTAATCCCCTGTATTGGGGATCAAAAAGAACATCCAAAGAAGAACAGCAGCACCATCATCATCACCTTTGCAGCCCAAGACAACAGAATTCCATGCCAAGAAGCTGCTGCCCCAAACATCAGGACCTTATACCAGAGAGCTGCTGCTCAGAACTCAGGACTTTATGCCAAAACTTTTAGTAAGGACTTTAACTTTCTAAACTCTTCGCCTTTGAGACCGATGCTTTTATACAATAAATACCTTTCTAGCAACTATCAACTGCTCATGTCTCTTTGAAACCTGGAAATATCCCTAGAATCCCCATTGAAGTGTCGACACTGTTTATGTAGAGAAAAATCAGATTATTATAGTTCTTGAATGGATAAAAGAAAAAAAGTGGGAAACAGCAGAAAATATGAATTTGCCTCTGACCATAACGTCAGTGAGCTGGACACAGACCATCTGGACAGTTTTGAAGGTTACACGTTCAACACTCAGGCATGTGCACACGTACAAACTACAGACATGGAAAGAGTACAGAAGAGAGACATACAATGGTCTGATGGAGTGGAAGAAGTATCTTACAGCAAGGATTTAAAGATCTTGACTTTATAATTTGAAGTTATAGAGAAACAGAAAATTTGAGAAAAGGCTTAATTGAAGTCTGCTAATAACTCCATGGAAATAAAACATTGTGTTTTCAAAAGCTTTTTATTTCAGCACAGAAGGAGCCAGCATCTAGTTAAAGGATAAAGCTAGAAATGTTAATATTGTAAGGATAACTCATTATTTTCTGATTTTTACCTGCTGGAGAAAACTATCAAAGCAATCAAAGCCCTTTGCATTTGTTAATATTGTTCTGGAATTTTAATCCACCAAGAGTTTTCCCCCCTTTTGTCCTTCCAGTTCTTTTCCCTCATGCCCTGGAGAGAACTGAACAAGCAACTGGGTGTCGTCTTGGCTGCTGGGATCAACCCACCTGACACTGCCACAGAAGCTGATAGAGGGATATAAGGGACAGTTTTGGCACACCTATGTTTGCCATCTGAATCCTTGGAAAGACACTCCATATCTTTCTTTAAATATCTCCATGGATGGTGACTTTTGTCTGGGCAGCCTGTTCCAATGCTTGACAAAAATCATGTCATACGAAGGTACTAAAACCGTCATTGTAACTCGAGCTAAGTCTGGACTCCTGCTCCAGGTCAGATCCACCTTGTAGCAGATAAGCAGACTGGGAAATTCCTGTCATCTTCTACCTCTAAACAAGTTATCCATTTCATTTAGGGGTAAAAGCAGACCTTGCAAACATCAACTGTATTCTTAAAGCCCACTTGGAGCAAACAATTAATAGAGATGGCTAATCCTGATTCTATTAGAAATATGGATAGAGTTTTAGGAAGTTTGGACAAATTTTCTCCAAGCTATGTAGTGGATAGATGCACCTTAAAAAAAAATAAATCTACTAATAAAGCCTAAGCAAGACAGCTTCCTGAAGGACAGTTCTCACCCACTTGGGGGCTGATGGGGTCGTGCTCATTTCTCTCCAGCCAAGTCCAGCCTTGGACACTCAGTTGTAGCAAACAAGAGGAGAGCAGACTCTTTCCATTGGTGTCTAGTGACAAGAGAAGGGACAATGATTACAAACTGGAGTTTCCCTCTGAACATCAGGAAACATATTTTTAATATGAGGTTCACCCAGCACTGGCACTGGGCTGTCCAGGCATCTTCTGCAGTCTTCCTCCCTGGAGATGTTCAAAAGCCACTTGTACAGGGTCCTGGGCAACTGGCTGTAGATGGCTCTGCTTGAGCAGAGCGTTTGGAGCAGGTAACCTCCAGAGGTTTTATCAACAGCAGCCATAATGTCATTCTGTAATTTTCAAGAGCAGCCAGTGCCCAGAGGGGCTTATGAATGTCACAGTTACATCTACAGCTGCTAATTCTTCACCTCCTCTCTGGGATGCAGCCAAATCTCCTCTCTAGTGATAGCAGCCAAAACTATGGCCTGGGAATATAGTGAAACATGGCCAAATTACCTGGGCTTGGCTTTACTGGCAACTAAACAGACAAAAGAGGATTGATCATACCCTGTCTTTTCTTATATTCAGGGGGCTTCACCTCTATTTAACCCTACTGCAGGTCTCCCATGTGCAGGACAAACTCCAGGAAAGCTGCAGAGTGACAGTCTACCAGTGCTTGCCAGCAATTCCATTTGACAGCATGTAAGCACAAGATATTGAAAACGGAGTGGGGAGTAATGCTGCATCTCAGCACAGGCTCCCAGGCACTGTCCTCTCAAACAGACAGTTGTAAAAACTCTGGGGTTTTGGGATTAACTCTTTAGAGATGCTTATTAAACAGAACAGATTAAAGCAGGTATTGTTCTTAGTCCAACCTTTATTATGTTTACATAATGCTAAGTCAGATGTGCTTGTTAATCACTTTCAGTAGCATTAACTTTTTTGACATTGTACTTGTGTTGATATACAAAATAAAATAATTTATTGAAATAAAAGGTCAGCTGAAAAATCATTGTCTCTTCCAAGCCTTCTCTGTTTGAGTTACAGGGTTATTCTCTTTACTGTAGGGATAATAAGGATTATATTTCACCAAAGGCTCCAGAATATTATCCATCTCATTCTTTTGTACCCCAGGAGAGGTTATTTCAGGTTTTTTAGATCCCTAAGGTAGAAGAAGGGAATCATATTTCCAAACCCAAATGCTCTGTGTGTGCAAGCATGTTCTAAATCAAACAGAGCAAAGGCAGTCCAGGCTGATATTACCCCACATGTCATTGGAATGCCATCTTCCTGATTTTCTCCTGAAGTAAATCCCCAAACTCATAAATACAGAAGCAAATCAGATCTGCATATTTGTGATTTCCTTTGAACTTAGATTTTTGAGGTATGTGCTGCCTTTGTTTACACTGTCACTTCTGATTTGTCTCAGACCTCCATGAGCTTTCTGCTCCTGAAATTAGACTAGATCACTCCAGAAATCAAGTGTAGGTTGAGTATTTGGTGAATGCTGGCATGTCCATATCTTCAGGAGCACCTGATTCTTACCTGGTGTGGGGTTCCTCATATGTGGGGTGGTTGTTGAGGGTGCAGAGACAGAGAAGACATGCCAGCACTGTGTGTGCCACAAGACAAAGAAGTAATTGGAGTAGTGCCATGCAATTTTATGTCTTAAAATTTTGTATGTTAAAACTGCCATTCCCCAAAAGTTTTGTCCAGTATTTTACAGTAAACATAAAGGGCATACAATGTGATTTTGTCATTGTCTCATGGATAGATCCATATTACACATATTACACGTAATCCAGGTGTTTTCCAAATTGACCTGGCCTTCTTGCACCAGAAGAAGCCAAAGACTGTCATCACCAAAACTTAGAAGTGGAAGGGTAATTCAGGCTGGAAAGGGACTCCAGGAGGTCAACAGATTCAGCCTCCTGCTCAAAGCAGGGCTACATTTATGGACACCAAAGCCAGTGTTTAAATTACATTCTTCACAGAAAATGGAGGCAGTGGTAAAACTATCAACCCTGCATTAGACAGAGCAGCCTGCAGATTCCCTTGGCATCAGCTGCAGCTGCCAAGAAGAGCCAGCCATGAAGGAGTAGAGATCTAGGCTTGACCCAAGATCCCCACGCACTGCAGTGGGTGAAGTAATTTGTGACCCAGCTGCCTTCCCCTTTTTCCCTTGGTCTCAAGAACAGTGATACATGATATGCTCCTTCACAGGGTAGTTTCAAATCTGAAGCTGATCTAAATGAGTTTAAAACTTGATATAAAGCTAGTTTGGGGATTACTCAGAAAAATGGTATTGATGGAAGATCAAAGAAAGCTGTTGTCTTGCTTCTTTTGGAAGCAGCTCTTTTCTTCAATAAAAGTTAAAGGGCTTTTAATTTAGAAACCTTACACATCTTACGTGATTCTTGAGAACCCAGTAAGGATACAGTAAGTAGGGAGAGCAGTCAGACTTGGAATAATATAATACGTGCATTTCAAAGTATTTCTATGATACAGTAATTTCTATCACCAGGAGTTTGTCTTGTTATTACTGAATTCCTTCTTGGAAAGCTGAAAAGTTCTTTACCATTGATGGAGAGAGAATATCTCCATATAAAAAGATATATATCAATATTTAACTCCAGGTGGTTATTCAGAATTGTTTGGCCAGTTTCTTTTCCTTATTTACAAGTACAAATTTATTTACACCTCTGATTCACGCAAAAGAGGTATGCAACACATTTCAGTGCTCAATATCACAACAAAAGCATTTCCCAAGAAATGCCTAGACCATCCTGCTTTCCAGTCTAGTTACAAGAATTACAGAGGCATGTGGAAATTTAAAAAGAGGGGAGGTAAAAAGCTGCAGGAGATGTAAAGGCTCATATCACACCTCAAAAGGATCATATTCAAATTAATGTGTATGGGGGGAATAACAGTGGTAATTATTTCCATGAGCAGAATTACAAAGGATACTGTAAGAACAATCTGCTCAGAGGAAAATGGGGTGTTTGTCTTTTTCCTTACTCCCCATTTTTTTCTTTCAAACTTCTGTCCTCTCGCTGTTACATGTAAAAATTAAAAATAACCCTTTGGTCTTGTTTCTGACCTCCTACGCTTTTGAAGTTTTAGTTTTACATTGCTCTTGGTGAAGCTTGTAGCATGCTTTGATGGTCATCAGCACATATATAGGAGTCCATAAATGCTGAATAATGAAAATATAGCTGTCCAGTGTTTGGCAGGACATGGCAAGGATGTCAGTTTATTTTAAATAGTCAGGAAGAGGCATTGCACCATCACAGTTGTTTTCCTTCCCTCCCTAAAATCCCAGTGTTTTCCCAGCCTAACCTGGCAGGAGAAAGTCCAGGAAAATTATTAAAGGCAGGTCTCCAGCATGACGAGGCAAGTTTGGTTCCTTTATAACAAGTGGGTGGAGACGAGGGAAAGGGAACTGAAACTGTTTTGAAGTAATGGCAACCTCAGCTGCTGCAATGGGGTGCAGAGATATGTGATATACTGTGATTATTGGAGTTTAGAGGCTTCCTTTTCAGCCTACAACATTTTTCACTCCTTTTGGAAACAGTATTACATTACAGGTGTTAAAACTTTTCTTCAGAATCAGACTGGCCAGGGAACTGTAAATCTAAATCATGGCTGCCCTCAGGAAACCTGCCAGCCTGTAAACACAATGAAATGAGTGAGATGAAAGTATCTGAGTGAGAAAATTAATTTTAGGCATTCCACTGAAGTCTATTCAGTTTTTACAGTCTGGCCTGGCATCTACAAGTAACAGCTGGGGAGGACATATTAATTCCCAGTGACTAATGCTGGGAAGATTACCTTAAGCTTGAAATCTTTACATAGGGGTCCAAGAGGGAAGAGAAAACTTATTCCCTTGAATTGCTCTTATTTTTTCCATGCTGGAAAGTCATGGTATTCTGCCATAAATATCAAGCTTTCCTACTTCTGAAGCTTATTTGTTCACACTGATGAAGTTTCCAATTAGGAATTTATGTAGAAAAGTATTTCAAAGAGTAGGCTGACCACAAGAGTAACTTGTGAGGACATTGCATGTTTTTCAGCATATTTCCTTCTTTGGCACATTTGTGTGCTTTCAGAAGGCTTCCCCATTTTTAAAGAGGTCTCTCTTCTCAGAGGATTTTTCTCGCAGCTCCAGCCTAGCAGGGGCAGGTGAAGCCAAGAGTGTGGGAATAATTCAAAATGTTTTTTTCAGGCTCCTCCCTCTGAACGTGAACAAAGATTCCATGTAAGATACAAAACCCTCTCAAGACACAAAATGCTGTCATTCATCAACCTGTTTATACCCACTCCTACTCCATCATTTTTAATTTTCACACACTGTTGCTTGTCATCTGGACACAATGAATGAAGCCAAAACACTGCAAGAACATTTCCTGTCCAGACTGTAAGAGTATGAGCCTCATGCTAGCTCATTCTCATAACTTCCAGATCACTTGCCCAGATTTTGGAGAGTGGAAGAGTATCCAAGGAACACCCAGTGCTAGCTTTGCCATTTGTCACCTGGATTCCTCTAACATCCTTCAGACCATATTTATATCTCTGATACCAGCATTTTTACTTCCTACTTCTTATTCTTCATAAGACCCTCCTGGATACTTTCCAGGGACTATTTGTTTTCTGCTCCCTTATAAAGTTCCCTATGAAGAAGCCCATGAGGTTTTGCAAATAAGGAGATACTGGGCAACTGCAAAAGCAGAAGACACCGCTGTGATTCCTTATCCCCAGCTACCAGAACCTTCCATTCACCGCCAACCTGTCTTTAACAATCCCAATGATACTTTTATACATCTGCCATCAATTAAAAGGGACTTCCACTGTCCAGCAGAAACGAAACCAGCGAGCTGTCCATCAGTTCATTCTCTCTTGCAAAACTGGAAAGAGCAAGCTGCTTCTTGTTTAGCTCCATCAGTCTCATTTAGCCACAAAGGTGCTCAAGCAGCATTAAGATCTGCTGTAGGTATGAACGTGATATGAATAGAATGGTCATTACATGCCCTGGAAAACACACTTCCCGAACATGGGGACAAATTCTGACTTCTGGGTGGGTGTTGTTTTGTGCTGGTGAACTAGATAGATGAGGCAGCAGGCTCCTTGTGCTGCCTTCTAGGAATATGCCTGGATAGAAAACTGCATCTGGTCTGGGTATGGAGATGAGCTGGTCCTGCAGTGATGGTTCAGGCTGACCTCTCATGGTGTACTTGAGGGCAGAGCTGTGTCTGCACTGATTATCAGTCCCCAGCCTCAGGCAGAGCTCACCTGCTCTTCAATTCAGCAGGTCATGGAGATAGAAAGGCTGCAGCCACATGATTATTTCTCACCTAAAAAGAGCAGTCGATGGAGACTTTGTGGAAGGTCTTCCAGACCCCTTGCCTTCACTATTGCATTTCAGTGGGCCTGTCCTGAGCATCCTGGGGAGGATCCTGTGTAGGACTCCTATGACAAGGAAAAGGAAGGTATTTTCTATGGAAAAGGGAATGTGAAACATGTTCACATTGCCACTGTTTCCTGATAGAGACTGGGAATGGTGGGAAGGGGAGGAATACACGTAAGAACAAGAAGGGAATAGAAAGAAATAGAAGGAAATAGAAGGTGTGAGAACTTGCATACATGATTCAGGCTTAATTAGCTGTTTTGGCAGGCTGAGCAAAAGGATGTAGTTCCTACAATCCTGAGCCTATGAAGGGCAACTTACAAGTCTTCCCCATTTTGGAGTTGCTCTGGTCCTGACACTGGTGCAGAACTGAATCCCTTTCTGAACATCTGGGAATTTACTGAGTTTGTATACCCAGCTGTCTCTTGAATAATAAACTCTTGTGTCATGGGAGGTAAAATGCTCCTACAAGGTAAAAGGTTTTCCTACAAGGTCAGCAGCTGGCAGCAGGTATAAGGCAAGGCAAATGTCCAAAGGGTCTTTCAGCAC